TTGTCGCAGAATCTGCAATAAAGTTGTATGTAGTAACGTGTTCGGAGGTGGTTTAAGCCTACTACAGCAGGTCACCAACTCGGTTTACAATGTCATTCGATCTTAGAAAAACCAATAAAGAATTTAAATACTATTATTATATAATTATATCATATAATATTATTAAATTAAACTCAATTATTATAATTTACTGATGAGAAGCCTAAAAGGATTGTCTCAAATCTATTATGCTTACAATGAGTTTTTATCTCTTTAGTCTTTCTTGATCTTTTAGCATTCCCTACCATACTTCTCTAACTATACTGTAATTGGGTCTATGCCCCAACATAACCGGAGGTTTATTTTTAATGAGTTTATCGGTTTGTCTATATTACAGGATAGTTAAAGAAAGCTGAGATCTAAGGGACAACCTAAGGGTATAGAACTCAATATGCCAAGAGTTCTATACCGTATTTCTAAGAAATTAAAATTGATATCGAATGCAAAAGATATGATTCCAATACTAAATATGTAAGCGGATGACGATTAATTTAAGAGTCACTACCGTTGGTGGTATATTATATGCATAATTTAAAACGACTTTAAAATATTCAAGTATAGACTTACCAATTAAACGATTTAGTGCGATCAATATGTAAAAACGTATATGTAAAAATACACAAAAATATATAAACTTAATATTTACATTTATAAAATTGTATTATAAATTTTATAAGTGAAAATTTAATTTTTTAATTGACAGCTAAACTAATAAAATAAAATTCAATGCAACTGACACAAAAAAACTTCATAAGTTATTGCTAGAGATAATCAACCTACTTAATCTTTAATGACTTATAGTATGAGCTTATCTTACAAATCTTTTTTAAAGAATTTATTCAAGTTTTCTTATTTCAAAAATAACAAAATCCTAGGCTCCTCAAGATAAACCCGATTATAAATTTAGTACGATAACCTAAACATACCATTATTACGATTTACGATTCCGTTTAAGTCCGGCTTTCACTTTCTGAACCATTTTAGGTGATGTTGCTGCTTTTTTTTCGTCCTCTACCATAGCGTTTGACGATGCTACATGTACTATTATAACGATTTATGGTACGATACACAAACATTTTAATCACT